TCACTGAGTGCCATTGTCATTTCATAGGAGTGTTCTTCGCTTACATCAGCAACCTATTCCCACCTATTCTTGTAATCTCCAAACCTTTATCAATACATGGCACTTATTTAGAATAAACAACTTTAATGTCAGCAAGATTCAGAACCCTAATTGCCCTAGCTGCACCAAAAAAGTAGTCTTCTATTTTTTTATTCCTGCCTTAATTATTTGTTCCTTTCATTCTCAGTATTTTTTGTGATCCTTTCTCTAGATGTATTTCTGACTTTGTCTTTTCTATAATATGTTTTCATATTTCAAGCCTTTTTCTGCATACATTCATACAACGATTGTCATTAATTACTGAATTTTGTCACTTCTTTTAGAGTTATCTTATCTTTCTCCAAAAAATATGTTACCATCTAACTGAAGATGTTAATATACTTGTGAGACAAAGCTCAGAGGATTTAAAAGTGACAGCTTTGTGGTCACTAGAATGGGTTGGTATAATTCTTGCTATTGTCTTTGGCACTATGGTTAGCCCACACCATTTTAGATTTATAACATAGGAAATAAACCAACTCACACCAAACCCAAATATAAATATTTGTATGCAGGAGCCTCAATACAAAATTCAGATTTTGTTAAATCATTATTCCCCCACGATGCTATAGTTTCTAAATAGATGGCAGCCTCACTTGAATGGAAAGCTGCTGGACACTGGTCAAAAAGCTAACGGCAGCCGCATGACAGTTTCTTCCGCAGCCGCAGTGTTTAGTGAACAACTTTAAGTGGCTCCATCTATATAGAACATAGTTCCTGAGACTACTTGACACTTAAAAAATAGACTCAGTTGTGATCTCTGGTAATTTATGACAAAAAGCAAAAAAAAGTGCAAAAAGCAGCTTTAAATTACGGCAGCTCAGTCACTTAATTTTTGGCATGTTATCGTCTTTTATGCAAGTAACTTAGAATTAATTTCATTTTCAACATAACTATACACAGCATTTCGATTTCCCAGAAACTAACTTTTGAAACAAATTCAATTTGTATTCCTTTCTCAGAAGCTGATTGGTGTTTGTTAAATCGCTCATGTTCTCCTATGTCTGCATTCCCTCCTCTACCTTCGTCTGGGAGTTGTAACGACATAACAGCAACACAAACAAACCTACTAAATTTGATGTTTTGTTTTACATGACAGAAGGAGAAACAATCATATTTAATGAATATATTTACTATAAAAAAAAACAACAAAAAAAATACTGCAGTGAGATCCCCTAGCAGGGGGACCAGGCCCTGCCTTATCGCATGGTTCGTACAGCCTATGTGACAGCTCTTATTTTCACTTTTGTTCTTCGCTTAAATATATAATTGGAATGTTGATTTTTGTTGGATGATTGGTTTGCAGTAATCGGAAGTGGTGGCCTGAGAGTTTGAAAAACTTTGCAGCTTGAATTATTTTCCAAGCCTTGATGGTGTACATTTTGTTCTTTTGGGCTTCTCTCTCAGTCAATTTTTCTTCTTCATCACTGAACCAGATGATGTTCTGAAATTGAAGGCAGATTACCTCGGCTATATCTTGCAATAGTAAAGCAATGTTTCTTCTTGTCCTCAGTTTATATCTGATATAAAATATTATCTTGTTTTTGAATAATTTGACTCAAACAGAATTTAAATATTAGTTTATGCATAAAACACATATTTTTCACGGTTTTAAAATATATTAGTATAGTTTGATTTGCAGACAGGATTAACAACATGTAAACTAAAACTATGTTGTTTAAAAAACTTCATCCACAAGAGAGACAAACTGTAGTGTTTTGTTTGTGTTTTTTGAGATTTTTATGAATTCTAAAACAAGATAAAAGGTTATTTGAACAACCTGGCATGAAATTATTAACCTGACAACAGCCAGATGCATGTCTCACTCCGCCTAGCTCCGCTCACTGGAGCTGGGCGGAGCGAGACATGCATCTGGCTGTTGTCAGGTTATGAAATTATGCCATCATTTTGTAAGCTGAATTAAAAAGCTGATGACAGTTGAAATATGGGCTCATTACTCATGACCAATTTCTGTTTTATATTACTGCCACATCTTTTGCACTTCACTCTTTATAGTAGGCAATAACTGTACCTTTAACCTCCATTGTGGTTAAACCCAGAGTAATTAAACTCTGTTTTTTGAGGGATTATGTTGTTCTATGGCTTTTGTATTTCTCACACCCTTTCAGGTCACATACAAAGCATGTTTTAATCTAAATTGCTACATTTTAATTTGCCTATTTTATATAAGTGTCATTTATTCATGCAAGTCATTTCTCAAAAAAATATTTTTTTTTAACAACTTTGTTGTATGGATGCAAGCTTGAAGAGGTAGATAAGATGAACTAGGTTTACATTTAAAGAGCCCCTGATCAAAAAAATTAAAAATAATAAAAAATAGGTAGACAAACACCAGTTTCAGTATAATATGTAGTGCTTTACCGCTGTAGCAGCATGTTGACTTGTAGATTAGGAGAGAGCGACCTCTACTGGAAATTCATGTTTTGCAACTTTTGTTGAAACTCTTGCTCCATTCTTTCTATCTTTCTATCCAAATAAAGAATAGAATAAAACTTGATTAACAGAGCATTTGACAAAAAAAAAAAAAAAAACATGAATCATGAGCTTTGTCCTGAAAGAAAACTAATTCTGACCTTTGGGTGTCAAAAATCCTTGCACTAAGATAAGCAATAAAAATGTAATCCAAAGGATCATTTACCTTAATTTAAGGAGAAACACACACAGAGAATTCCTACATTTCCAGTGTTCATCTTATGAGGATTTAAATACCATTCAAGCAAAGAAATTGTAATACTAGATACGAACTTTTTAGGAAAAATATAAGATTAAAAACTTGGCCTCAGCGTTATTACATCACAGATATAATCCTTCATGAACACCTAGTTTAAAGAAAGTCTTGAAGGAGATTTTTTTTTTTATCTTAAGTTCAAAACGTTTACTTACGGAGCTCGGGCTCCATATTTATTTGTTCCATATAGAGATAACAGGCCATTTTGCCGCGAGGTCACCTTCTTGAATTCCCTGAAACACAGCTCTTGGTAGTGCCCTGAAACAGATACACCTCTGAAGCATTTTAAATGCAAAGTGCTATTTATAGACACAAATAAACAATTTGTTCCAAATAAAACAGAATGTGCCAATTAAAAAAGAAAAAAAGGAAAGAAAACTTCATATAAACTAGCCTATCTTAGGCAGCTAAATATTTTCCGTTGGCTGTGTTTTGCTTTTTTTAAACCTTGCTGTGAAGGACACCACTGTTTGTTTTTAACTGACACTGACAGGTGGTAAATTTTGTATTTTGACTATCAGCTTTGTGCCCTGGAGGATTTTCTCTCTCCTTTGTTGATGTTGTCATTTAGTCTTGTTGTGTCCACCTGCTGGAAGAGCATAAAATTAGTTTTACAGACAGATTTAATAAGGCTAGGCACGGTGAGGCAAGGTGAGGAAAGGCAAGTTTATTCGTTACATGTACAATTCAGTATATGGACAATTCAAAGTGCTTTCCATGAATTAGACAAAAAAAGAACAAAAATAAAAGCATACTAAAAGCAAACAAAGATAAAAAAAAAACATGATGAGAGTAGGTAGTAACACAAATAAAACAGTTGGAGCACAACCCTAAACTAATAAACTGTTTAACTTCAACAGTTAAAGGCAGCTCTAAACAAATGGGTTTTTACCCTTGACTCAAAAGAACTCAGGCTTTCAGCAATTTTACCGTCTTTTCTGAGTTTCTTCCAGATAAGTGGAACACAGGAACTAAATGTTGCTTCTCAATGCTTGGTTCTAGTTAAAGACCTGAGTGGTCTGGAAGGTTGATACACTGATATCTGTTATGTATTGAGGTGCTGATCCATTAAAGGTAAAGTGGAGGATTTTCTTTTTCCGGGGGGATCATCAAAATAAGTGGTCCTAATTGTCAATCATTCTGGTGATATGTTTACGTAATGTGTCCTACGAGCGTGCCCCATTTTCAATTACAGGTGGTGAGTCTGACATAGTGGAAAAACTGCGGATCTTCTTTTGCAAAGTAGCTTGTATGAGCGATGCAAACAGCAACTTTAAAACAGAGCGTGCACGAGGAGAAATAGGCTTGTGCACGCTCTTGCAGACGTTTAATAAACGTACCCTCTTAGAAGTGGGTACAGGGTTCTGCATGTGCTTTTTTTTTTTTAGGTGGAGAGGATGGGTCTTTTAAAAAAATTGCGAAAATCGTCCTCCATACCATTAAGTGATTTATAGACTAACAGAAGGATTTTAAAATCTTTTCTCTGAGCTACAAGGAGCCAGTCTAAGGACTTCAGAACTGGGTTGATATGCTCTTTCTTAGTTCTAGTGAGAACACTGGCAGTAGCGTTTTGGATCAGCTGCAGTTGTCTGATTGCCTTTTTGGGCAAACCTATGAAGAAACTGTTGCAGTAATCAATTCTAATAAAGATAAATGCATGAATGATTGTTTTCTAGAACCTGTTTGGATATTAGTCCTTTAATCCTGGAAATGTTCTTCAGGTGATGAAAGGCTGACTTAGTAACTGCCTCTGAAGGTTCAGGCCCATCATCACATCAACATCTCATCCATAATCACTGGTTTCTAGCTGTAAGTAGATAAAGCTGTGAGCTAACTCTCCTCCTTTGTTCAGAATTTTTTTTTTTTTACCTCAGTTTGGTTTTTATTCACTTTATTCACAAATTATGGGAACTCCACATATTGATCTGTTCTAAACATCTAGGCAAAGCTCTGATGGATTTATATTCACCTAGTGACATTATCGTTGTTTCTCTTTGTTTCTAGTGATAACCTAAGATGTCATAAGAATAATACTAATAAAATACTCTGTAGTGTTTGCTGGAAAAATCAGCAAGTTTATTTCAATATCCCCCAGCGTGTAATTTCGATCGAACTCCGGTTCGCTAGGGGGCGGTAATGGTTTCCTATGACACCTAATACTAGTAGACTGTGCAGCTGGACAGCAGCCTCTAACAAAGAGAAGGTGGCAAACAGAAGACGAGGAGAAGCATTTGTTGTTGTTTTCTCCCTCAATAACAGCGTTAAGTGTGTTACTAGATAAAGGACTGGAATATCGACACCTGTGTGTGAAATAAGGTGGGTGTTAGCAAACTTGACGTTTAGCTGGTTTTCAGACTATGAAATGCAGCGTTCTCATGTTGCGCTGTGAAAAGCTGCTTTCCCCTGTAAATGCTGATAGCCCTACCCCTAACTTTTATAAACAAACCGTAACTGCAGCTGGTGAATTACACCATTATCACTTCAAATTACTTTTTGTAATTAAGCTGTGCCTTTAAATCCATTCATTCTTATTTTTCTTACAGATTAAAGATATTTCTCGACCGATGTAAGAAAATAAAAAACTATATATATATATATATATATATATATATATA